ACAGGATGATGTAATTGAGGTCCAAAAATGAAGCACACACGATTTACATTGTGACACACTCGTGGAATTAATTTTGCGAGGAACAAGAGATCCTTCCATTCTATTCCCTCGGATAAATTTTCTTCGCTAGATAATCCTACTACATAACTATAACTTCTTCGATCTCCCTATATCATTCAGAAAATATTTTAATCGATATATCAATTAGTTTTATTAAATTATAAGATTATTCGTAACTAATAAACATTCTACCTGCACTCCTACACTGCGTATAGGCAAAAGTGTTGCCGAAATATGTCGGTAACTGGAAAGCTGTCGCAAATACTGGCGTTCAGATTCACTAGTTGCACCTTCTACACGATTTAACAATCCGTGTTTCTTTTGAAGCATTTGTTCATATTCAGCCATTATTTTAACTATCACCTTAAATTGAATATAAATTTGTTATTTCGGAAGAGATTTTCTTTTTATCGATATTATAAACAAAAATACCTGGGTTTCTGAAAAATCTTTATCCATATAAGGTTCATCTGCACATAAAATGCGTACAGCAAGTCCAGGACCAGGAAATGGATGACGAGCTACTAGCGATGCTGGTAATCCAAGATCACATCCTAATTGTCGTACTTCATCTTTATGGAAATCTTTTAAAGGTTCTACTACATGACCTTGTGCTCTTAATGCTCTAACGAGTTCACTATCATTGTGATGCGTTTTTATCGCATCCGCTTTACCTGATAAAAATATTTATATTATATGTAAATATAATTTATTATTTCTAACAGATATGAAAAAACATATATGCATTTACAACTATAAATTTACCACTAGCTAATGCACTCGCACTTTCTATAAGATCAGGCCTGAGAGTGCCTTGTCCAAGAAACACTTCTTCTGGTTTCAAACCCATCTCTGCCATTGCTTCATTAGCTACTCTCACAAAAACATCTCCTATGATTTTTCGTTTTTCTTCTGGATTAGTTGTTGCACACAACATTTTAGTTAATCTAGTTCTTGGGCTAGTTGCTGTTCCATATATTCCTTTATTATTTATAGTATTTGCATTGGCTACTGGTGTGACATTATCCAAGGGAACAGATGTAGTTCCTTGCATAAAACAGCGTCCAGCATTAACGACTCTTAATCGAATTCCTAATTGCGCCAAGCTTTGTTCCACAAATTGCGTTTCTCCTTTTCGCATAAAGCCATTATTGATATGGAGAGCTATGACTTGTTCCTTATTTAAAGCTTTATGTAATAGCGCTGCACATACCGTAGAATCCACACCTCCGCTCACTAATAACTGTGATTGTTTTTTTCTATTTTAATTGACAATCACATGTTGTCATATCTTATACTATATTTTTTAAATATTTTAACCAAAATAAGTCATTATATTTTATATAATTATTATAAGTTTCAAAAATTTTACGAACTTTTTCAAACGGTACGGATTTCAATAATTACCTAAATATTAATTGTAAATCTTTTTCTTACCAAAACTTTTTTGTTGCCAACTGTATCTCTGATGAATTGAATACACTGAGCTTCCCGGCCACGAAGAGTATAATTACCGGTAAGACCAGCAATGCCAAACAAAAAATTGTGTAACATTGTTTTTCCATTAGGTGTAAGATCTACTTCTGGATGAAATTGTACTCCATACAAATTCATTTTATCACTTGCTATTCCTGCTATAAAGTTTGATGATCTGGCAGTAATATGAAAATTATCAGCTACCCTATCTATACTGTCTCCATGTGTTAACAGTACCATTTGTTCTTTTTCCAAGCCCCTAACAAATGATTTATTTTCTGAATACTTTATATTTAATGAGATATTAAATATACTATTATTTCTAGACTCACTTACTTAAATAATAAGCACTTGGAATCTATTTCAATTGGGAACTGACCATCTTCTCTACCCTCTTTACTTATCACTGTACCTCCAAATTCTTTATTCATCATTTGCATCCCATAACAAATACCTAGTACTGGAATTCCTATTCTGAAGATGTCTGCATCATATTTAGGTGCATCTTCTGCATAAACTGAACTTGGCCCTCCAGAAATTATAATAGCTCTAAAAATTTAAATTTAAAGTAATGATTACTAAATAATAATTTACAAATATTCTGTATTTAATAAAAATAATTTATATGATCTTACTTATAACCCTTTTCTTGAAGGGTAAATGCAGATGTGTCCAAAGGCAGAATTTCACTATGCACATTTAATTCACGGATTTTACGATCTATCACTTTACCATATTGTGCCCCTGCATCCAAAATAGCCACTTTTTCATTAACACATGGTATGCCCAATGTTCCTTCATTAGCCCCATTATTTCTCTCTGCGCGAAACAATAATCCGTCCGCGCTTTTTTCCATCTCAAAATTTCTTGTATTGCTATTAGTATTGTGGTGATTTCAATAATCCTACAAGGATTTAATAAATTTGATGAAAAATGAAAGATATATAAACAAATGACAAAATAACAAACTTATTCTTATATTCTTTTAGTTGCTAGATTTTATATTATATTATATTATATTTAGATATTACTCTAATTTATATAATTTGATAAATAAAAAATTTTAAAAATTATTTTGTTTATTAAAATTAAAAAAAAACATTAAAATATAAAAATTGTATGAAATAATAAAACGAAATAACTAAACAGAAAAAATATTTTTCATGTTATCATTCAGGTCATGAACTTATGAAAATGATTATAAATCATACATACTATTTCAATTTTATTATCTATTAATTATTGCATTATTTTATTAAAAACAGATGAAAATAAAAAAAAAAATCATTGCATTAATAAATATAAAGTTTAATACTAAATAAAGCTTTTGATATTTTCTTTTATCAAATAATAGAGTTACAAAATATAGTTATTTCGAATAATGTCTAATGATATTACTACGTGTAAATATAAGATGCTATTATAGTATGTCACAAAGTCACAACCCAGTATAAGTTCTGACAACTACTGTATACTATAGATATTTAATTTATATGAAAAATTTATTAAAAATATATATATAAATATTTCATATCATTTAATGAACAATTTGTATAATGTTTAGGAAAAATCCACTAAATATGATGTTTAGCAAAAAATAAATAACCGGCCGTAAATTTTAAGAGCACGTTTCTTAGAAACGAAAGTACTATAATAGCACATCTATTACATGAATCATCTTTTTAAACGTTAATAAAATCTATTCAAAGACTCACCAAATTATACGAGGCAGAGAATATTTCACGCGTAAATCACCAACTAACGTAAAATTAATTACAGCAAAACAGAATGTGCACTCTCTAGACGAGGCAGCCATTCAATCGCCTGCAATAGCCACAATGCAGTGACTGCCTTCAGCTTGAAAGTAACATAGAAAACCAACAATATAAAATGAAAGTTCCTAGCAAAATTCAATACTTGTTACATTAACCGATTAATTTTTACAAAATTATTATCTCATCTGTCGAATTGACATTGTTGTTATGTGTAATTTTTTATATTTTATAATTTAAAATCCTTTCTTTAACGACTGTTTCTTTAATTATCAATTTGACCAATAATTAGTTTAGGTATTTTTACGAAATACGGAATAACATGAAGATAGCAAAATCTGGCATTTATTGAGCAGCATTTTTTGGACATATTTGAGGATTATGTTTATTGTTTCTTATATATATTTATATAACGAATATATATATAAAATATAACAGGTTAACGACTGTTATACATATGTTATTTAAATATATATATATTAATCAAATATTCTTAATTATTATACAATTATAAAAATCATATTAAAAAAAGATTAAAATAAAAAAATTATTTATTAATACGGATGATTTTTTTTGTTAGTTTAAAAAATGTTTTGAATCATTTTAAGGTATCATACAGTATATTCAAATGAAAATCGTTGACGATAATTCTAGCAAAAGAAAACAAATATATCGAATTTTATAAAATGTCAACTGTAAGTCAAATTTCGGCTAAGAAAAAATATATTTCTAAAATTAATAAAGATATTTTATCTGTCAAGTATTTTCTACCAACAGAAGTTGCAGTACATAATACAGAGATTGATTGTTGGATCTCATATCATGGTGAAGTATATGATCTAAGTGATCTTTGTAAAATTTGGGCTAACAAAAGAGAGATTAAACCAATACTAGCTTATGCTGGTAAGGATATAAGTCATTGGTTTGACCATGAAAAGAATGATATTAAACATTATGTGCATCCTATAACTGGAGTATTGGTACCATATTGTCCTCATGGTCCGATTCCGGATGTAATACCTTCTGTGGTACCTGCTAATAATTGGCGAGCATTAGACAAATGTCCTTGGTGGTTAGATGAAAAATATAAAATAGGAAAATTAACTAAAAAAGCACGTCCATGTAGGATTTTAAATGTTCTAATCGGAATACAAGTTGTTATAATGGTAGAATCTAAACATTATTAAAAATGAAAATAATCTATGATCGACATGTTAATGAACAAATTTTATAAAGGTCTGTGAAGAAGATTCTATTAGACGTATTCAAGAACGTGCTCTTATTTATAACTCAAATAGCATGTCTTATACGTGGAAATTCGAAGGAAAGGATTTAAATCTCGATTTAACTTTGACAGAAAATGGTATTCCAGATGAACAAGATCGTTTTGCCGCTTGCGGCCTTCCCGATGATTATTATGTCCCATGTCTTATGTGTTATTTCAATGATAAATAATTTTCTATCTGATAATATTAAAGTTAAGTCAAAAAAGGATAACAAAAATTTCACGAGAAAATTATGAAAGTAAAATATATGTAAATTTTTATTTTAAGAAAAGTTTCCTACGATATCATCACGTAAGACTTAAAAGCAATACAAAAGATGGCACCACGACCACTTTATTCGATATGAGTTAACCTTTTATTTAAACGAAAAAAAACTTTTAGGAAGTTTTTATAAAATTTTGCGACAATGTTTTCGTCTATAATAATTCGTACACAAAATTTAATTTCACGTATATTTTACGATAGATCTCGTTTTCTTTTAATTAAAAAAAATATTTTATCAATTAATAATACACAAATTAACGATTTCTCTTCAAAATCTATGAAAGTAGCTATTTTGGGTGCTCGTAGCAAGACAGGTAATTTATTTAGGTTATAAATATTCGCATAATTTTTTTATATTTTTATATATTGATCGCACACTATCATATATAGGAAATTGTCTTTCATTATTTTTAAAACAATCACCTTTGATCGATGAATTGGCAATTTTTGATAATAATTCATCTACTTACGGTCTTGCGTTGGATTTAAATTATATCGATACGAGATGTAAGGTTAGTACGTGTAATCATCCTGAAAAATGTCTCGAGGAAACGCTTCAAGGAGCGAAGATAGTAATGATCGTGACCGATAGAATATCCAACGAATCAAACGAAGTTTTAAAATCTAATGCTATTATGTTATCAGATCTGTTACCGAATATTATTAAATTTGCACCTCAGGTAACGAATCAATCTGCTTAATAATTATATAGTTCTTTAGAAAACAAAGTTTTTAAGTAGCTTTGGCTTTCTTTCTTCTACATCTTTATACCTATCATCAATGTGCCAATTATAAATTCGACGTGTTATGGCACAACGCTATGCGTTTTTACACGCTTGATCGTTGTTTTTTTTTTTTTTTTTTTATACGTAGTAGCTGACCTCGGTTTTTAACGCCCTCACAGTTTCATTAATTGCGAGCAGGTTGTTTTCGACATTCTTCACGGACGATTTCAGCAAGGACGAGAATATTTCTCTTTGATCATCTTACATTTCTTTTATACCGATTATTCTTTCTTTGCTTCGTCTATTTATACACTCGACTCAATTTTAGTCTCGTAAACACTTTAAAAACCGCTTTGCAAGGCAGTTTCATTTCAGTTTGCATTTTTGTAGAAATCTTTCGTCTCCTTTTTTTTTCTCTCTCTCTCTCTTTCTCTTTAGGCTATGCTCGCGATCGTAATGAATCCGATAAACAGTTTAATACCTCTAACGATGGAAATGTATAAGAAAGCTGGAATTTATGAGTACAATCGCATTTTTGGTGTAATGAATTTCGAGTGTCTTAAAGCGAATAGCTTTACCGCGGATTTGATAAATATCGAACCGGAATGTACAATGATACCCGTGATTGGCGGAGGCTGTTCCGAAACGTGTATTCCACTTTTTTCTCAAGCAAAACCTTCCAACAAAATATCTCAGGTTATCGACAAACAAACGTTTGTTAAACTTTTTTGTCTTTCCTGTCAAATAATTAATAATAATCGACCCGTTCATTGATTAATCAGGTAGAAGCTAGAAGATTGACATACGCGATAAGAATGTCCAACAATAATACATTGAATCCAAGTGACAATAAGGAAACAAACTCTTTCGCTTTGTCTTATGCTGCTGCTAGATTTTGCATGTCCCTTTGTAAAGGTATTGAATCATTATGTATGCAATATTTTCTACAATTATAATTTTCTACAATTAGACGAAAATTTACGTTATTAATAATCCATTTAGCTTTGCGGCATCAAGGCAATGTCGTGGAATGCGCTTACGTTAGATCCTGCGCGATACCGGAATTAACATATTTCGCTGCTCCCTTGGAATTAGGTCCCAATGGAATTCAGAAGCATTTAGATATTCCACCTTTGAACGATTACGAGTGTGAGCTTCTCAAAGCAGCTGTACCTCGTATAAAAAAGGCTATTAAATTAGGAGAGGTAACGAGATAGATACATTTATAAATAATATTAGAGGAAAGAAGATTATATTCTTAATCCTTTTTTTCGTAGGCTCTCGCACTCGGAGACGACAATCCTTCTTCCGAATTGTGCTTGAATAATTTAATGCCAAATCCTAAATGTTTCTCGTAATAAACTAATTTGCATCTTATGTATACAATGATCGAATATCGAACGTGTGAAAACAAATATTTTTCAAATTTTAAAAAATGGCTATTAAGAAATAAAAATTCCTTGTGATTGTTCAACTCAATCGGTCGTTATATTTTTTTATTATAGATTACCCTAAGAATTTCTTAAACACCAAAATTACACATGCAAATGACTTTTGAAACAACTTAATACACTGCATATACATATCAGATCCTGTTACCTGATAACAGTATTCTCTATTATTAATTCAAATTTCATGATTATATATGACTTCAGTTCGTTTCTAGAGGAGACGTTTTACAAATGAAAAGAAAACATTTTAAAGACGCTAAATATATATAATTACCATCTCAATGATCAAGACATTTTGTTTTACTTGTCACTACACTACTACACTACTTAACCTAACAATGTCTCCATACATGATATACAAGCGATACGATCATAAAATTTGAACTAATGGTAAAGTAAAAAAATAAATAATCAACAATTATAGAAAAAAAAATTGTCTTATTTCGAAAACGAGAAACACTTTTTAGCCTAGATATATATATATATATATATATAACGACCATGCTCTAATTACAAGAGCCCACCAACAGTCTCGTTGGTTTCTCATTTATCGTGAAATTATACGTGAAACAGCGAACAAGTTAACGAGAGAGAATTGCCTAACCGAGGAAGTACTTTCTGGATCTGATAAGAACAGATACAGCCTAGTCTCAAAAGAGTCGTAGAGGAGGACGCGGTTTTCGAAGAGCCACCGCATCATCGCGTCTCAGGTTACCAGGTAGATACGCGCAACAAAAGTAGAAGAAACTCGTCCTTTCCGCATTCCCGGCACGCCATGGTATTCCCCCAAGTGTGCGCTGCGACTGTGGACAAGATACGAACGAGAGTTGCAGCTGGCAACTCTTTGGGATTATTGCAAAGTTGGCGAGGAGAGGAAGGGTGGGGGGTGTTGGTTGCAAATCCTTAAAAAAAAAAAAAATCCATCCTCCGTAAAAGCGGTTCAACTTTAACCGTAGTAACGAATATCATAACGTGATAATAATACGATGATATCCGTGTATGCCTTCTCGAATAACAACGCGAGTTATTCGTTTCGAATTCGCGTTTTATATGCGTTTCATGTCCTTGAAAATCACAGGTTTCTTTCTTTCTTTCTTTTCTACTTTGCCTCTGTTCCTTTTTTTTTTTTTTTTTTTTCTTTTCTATTTCGTCGAATGTCGAAACGTTCGTCGATTCGTGGGCATAATCCGATGCTTTTAACGAAACGTCGAGCGCAGCTAATGCACCACTAGTCGGCCTTGGTTGTACGAGAATCGTTTCGATGGAAATGATGAGTTAGAACGTAACAGTGATAAATGTTGATAGGTCGATGTTACGGATGGAATAAGTCGATGAGTCGTTAATCGTAAAATCGTTTTGACATTTAGAGTTTTAGTTGGAAGATGATGTTAGATCGCTGAAGTTTCAAGATGCAAGGTTAAAATTATTATAATCGATTATTCTAATTTGATTGATTGTTATTTATAGCAGTTCCTTTGTTTATTTTATTTTATTTTTTTTTATGATTATATTCATCAATCGTAATTTTATTTACCAATTAAATGTTACCTAATGTCGAGTAATTGAAAATAAAATAATTGGAAATAAAATTGGTAAAAATATCATTGAACGATTATTCCACGTGTTTCAACAATAAAAAATCAGAAGATCGGAAAACGTGGATAAAAATAAACTATTATGCAGTAGTTGTTGGTAACCATGATGAACAATATGAATGAACAATTTTTTGACCTGAGAGCTGCCTTTGGCGGAAGTTTGAAACCGGATGTCTTCTTCATCACATGTCTTTGACGGGATCATCATCGTGTACATACATAAATACTTTCAGCATTTACTCGATTTCTTGCCACTGCAACTTATACGTCGGTAGCGCCAGCAACTCGCGAAGCAGGAAATTAATCGCATAGTTTCTCACGACATAATAGTTGCAATACCAATCTACTCTCGCAATTCCCGTACGTCAGAATCTCCATATCAAACCATATCAATAATTGCTTTAATTAACGTGGATCGAAATCTTAAAAATGCGAGACGTTGGCTTGAAAACGTGTAAACGAGAGAACGCCTCGAATTTATAAATAAATTCCATTCGCATAGCTTCGCCTCGTAACGCATTTTCGACTAATGCGTTTCTTCGATCCGGATATTTTTCCTTTTTTCCTTTTTTTTACGAGTTGGAACGGAACGAGAAAATCACTTTTTTAATCGAGATCCTCGCGATCGACGCGCCCTCGTATAACTGTCAACAATCAGCAGCACCATCTAGAAACACGCGTGGCTGGGCATTGGTATTCGAGCATTAGAACGCCTCACACGATCCGTTTTTCTTAGCAATAGACTGGCGCCGTCTAGCTCTTTCTTGCTGAAATTCTTCTAATCAAAGAGGTTATCGAGGATTGCGCAGTATCGATCGCGGACGACTCTCAAGGACGTGAACACTGGTGGATGACAGTATTACTGCGATTAAGAAGAGAAATGCGTTGAAGGGAAGAAACCTGTCTCGATGTCTCGCGCGTTGACGCGTGAGAAAATCCTTTTGACTCCTTGTCAACAGCAACCTTGCAGCAACACGACATTTTTCCCTTCGCTTTTCTTCCCCGTAAACGGGCAAATTAACGATCGAAATAAGAAAATATCGCGGGTATATATATAATATTTTCGATATCGTCGACGAACGAATTTATTTATTCAGCTTCGGTCGCTCGTATTTTTCACCGCTGTTGCTAATTCGTCACCCGAAGGCGTTCGGTGAAGAAGAAACGATCAACGCGTTCTAAGGACCGGTTATGAGGATGCGTTAGGAAGATAAGAGGATGCAAGGAGGGACAAATGGGCGGGAGGTGAACGTCCTCGAAGCTAAGACCATTTGCCGGCTATACGAAAGCGTTAAGACGCTAATCGTATCAACCGACACCCATTGTGAACCGTGTGTGTACATATATTTTATCCCCCAGCATGGTGTCTATCCTTCTTTGAATCGGTCACGATATAATTTTCCATCCCATCCTCCTTACTGCCTATTTATACACCCCCTGTACTTCCCTTTACTTTTTCTTCTACAACTTTGTATCTGAAGCGAAGGTCGATCGATGGCACGATAGCCTATCCAATTTTCGTGGTATCAGTTCGAGAAAAGAATAGGGTTGTCGTTTTCCGCCACTAGGGAGCCTCGTATGCGCGCAGCCTCGTAGCGGCGCGTGGATACAGCAACAATGGCGGGTATTGGCCGTGGCTGGGATAGGTAGGAAAAAGAAGAAGTAGGGGGAAGAGCGGAAAAAAGAAAGGGATGATGGGTGAACGGCCGCTGAATGGCACGACCTTCCGAGGAGGCCGGTTGAGGCGGTCGACCGGCCATACGACGTGATTCTGCATGTGCACTCCCCCGCAACAACAACAAGCTTCCGCGTTCGAAGAAGCGCTCGAGGCTGGATCGCGGATGGAAAGATCGGGCTCGAGCTACCACGGATCGAGAGGTGAAGGGTACAAGTTCGCCCTTATAATCGAGAATTTCGTCCCCCCCCCCCCTCGTTCTGTGCTCGCGCACAGACAGTTAGCCGGTTTCTTTCTTCGCGTCAAAGCGAAAGTGAAGGGAAATTGCGATTATCGAAGGGGGATATCGATGGATCGGCGAGCGGTTATTGGTACGCTCGAAGGCGATATTAAGCCGATTCGTTACGCCGTTACCAGGGAACGTTATCTGGCTGGCGTTGCACGGCAGAAGATAGCGCGCATACCTGTCCCTACAATCCGCATAATCTTATTTAAGTACGGTTCTAATAATAGTTGGGGCGAACTTTTTGCCCGGCCGGGTATTAGCCGGACGGGTATATCCTATTTTCTCTCATTGTCAATGAAAAATACCTCGAGCAAACCGGCTGTGTACTCGCAGAAATACGGCTGCTCGCCGAGCCTCTCTCAGCGGTGCGCAACGGGGCATAGGAGTGCAGTGACTCTGTACCACGGCTGCGCCTAACCTCGCAGATCGTCCACTACTTTCCTCTCTCTCTCTCTCTCTCTCTCTCTCTTTCTCTCTCTCTCTCTGTCTCTTTCTCTTTCTCTCTTCCCCGCCTTTCACTATTTACCCTCCCTCTTTCTCTATCCCGCATTCAGATCCACCTACATCATCGCCATTGGCGCCTTCGCGATCCTCCATAGAGATCCAGCTAGAGAGCCAAGAAAGAGAGAAAGAGGGGGCATTGTTGCCACGAGCTTTTAAGGGCAAAGGCGTAGTTCATGCGTCGGAATCGCAAGGAGGTCGACTTGTTTATGCTTTCGTGGTAACCAGATTGTTCCTTTACTCCCCCTCTCCCCCCTAGATTCGTATCCAGATTCTAGCTGGTTCACGAAGTTACGATGTCGTTAAATCCATCGATATACCGATATATCGATCTGTTGAATAACTTAATCTTTTTTCACGTCGATCCAATATTCGTTTAATTTTCAGAAAGGATGTTTTTTTTTTTTAAGAAATTTGTAACGGAATTTTTACAATTTTTACAATTTTTATATAGACGTAAGATCTGTTTGATAATTATAAATATAATTCGTACCTCTCTGAAAGGCTTTTTTTTTCAATACAATTTTGCCTAGGAATTTTTTCTTTACAAAAGAATAATGAAGCATTAAAACTTTGATCGATTTCACTCCCATAAAGAAACGTATCTCTCCATATTAGATTTCCTGTCAACAAAAAATGGCTTCACGCATAGCATTAATGTACTCTTATATATATATATATATATATATATACATAAAAACTTCCTATATATAAGATAGCACTATATATAAGATAAGTAAAATACTTTCTATCAGAATATATATATATGCACTTTTGAAATACTGTGTGAGCATATATGTTTACTATGAGAGGCATTGCTACGTGAATTCTTAGCTACAAGAGTAGAGCCGAAAGAGGAGAATCTTTCGCAGCAGTGCACGCTTTAG